ACAGCTCTGGAGGCCAGGAGTCCGAGATCGGGGTTCCAGCAGGGTGGGGCGAGGGCCCTCTTCCAGGTTGCGGGCCTTGATTGTATCCTCACCTGGTGGAAAGGGCCGGGGAGCTCTCTGGGGCCCCTCGGGGGGCACTAATCCCAATCGTGAGGGTTCCACCCTAAAGACCTAAGCACCTCCTCGCGCCCTGCCTCTTAATACCATTAGGACACTAGGTTTCAACGTATGAACTTGGTGTAGGATGACACAAACACTCAGACCGTGGCACCAGTTAAGCATGCATCTCTAAATATGATGGCTTTGTTTTGTCTGTTTGGGGACTTCATGTAAGTGAAATTATTCAGTATTATATTTTGCATCATGATTGCTCAAGAATGGGAGGTTAATGTGAATCATTGCATGATAGCAGTACTGCTGCGTGGCATTCCCCTGGATAAATATTCTGCCAGTGATTGAGGCCTTCCCCTGGTGACGGACATCTGAGTGGTTTCCTACCCTGGTTAGTATGGCTAACGGTGCTGCCTGCAGTTATGTATATGTCTTGTGGTGCACGTGCATGTGCATTCCGGTGGGCACACACCTAGGTGGAGAATGGCCAGGTCATACGGTATATGTACCAGGTTGAATAACATCCCTCAAAATTCACGCCCACCTCGAACGTCAGAATGGGACCTTATCTGGAAATAGGATCTTTATAAATGTAATTACTTAAGATGAGGTCATGCTGGATGAGTTAGAGCAAGCCCTAAGCCAATGGCTGGGGCCTTTTTAAGAAGAGAAAAAGGGGCGCACAGACTCAGAGAAGGTCACATGGAGGTGAAGGCAGAGATCGGGGTGACTTTTCTAGGAGCCAAGGGACACCAAGGACCGCTGGCCGCCACCGGAGGCTAGGAGGCGGGTGGGAACGGATTTGCCCTCAGAGCCCTCAGAAGGAAACAACCCTGCCCACGCCTTGACCCCGGACTTCTGGCCTCCAGAACCAGGAGAGAATACATCTGTGTTGTTTTAAGCCCCCTCAGCTTGTGGTACTTTGTTACTGTGGCTACAGGAAACTCACGTAGTATATATATTTTCAGCCCTGCCCGTTGTGTTTCCTCTCCTGTGAAATGCCTGTTCTGTCCATCTTCCCATGTTTCTGTTGTGTTGTTGATCTTTTTCTTGTTGATTTATGGGGATTTATGAGCTCTTTACATATTCTGCACAGGGCCCTGTGTTGCTTATGTGTGTTACAAATCGCTTCCCTTTTCACTCTCTTTTTAAAAAAAAAAATTTTTTTTAAGTAGGCTCCAGGCCCGATGTGGGGCTCAAACCCACGACCCCGAAATCAAGAGTCAGGTGGTCCACCAACTGAGCCAGCCAGGTACCTCCCACCCCTTTTCACTCTCCTAATGATGTTTTCTGATGAAACAAACTTCTTAATTTTCAAAAGTCAAATTTACCATTTTTTCCTTTATGATTAATGTTTTTAATTTCCTGTTTAAGAAACCTTTCCCTGCCTCCAAGATTATGGAAATATTCTCCTACATTCCCTTCTAGAAGTTGTCTTATTTTTCACACTTTTATGGATAGTGTGAAGGTAGGGGTCAACTTTCTTTTTTTCCATAAAGATGTCCAATTGTCCCAGTACTGTTTATTGAGACAAACATCCTTTTACCCAATGTCTTGAAAGAGTGCTTTTGGGGGATAAGAAGCGTCTATGCGGCTGTGGATCAGCTTCGGGGCTCTCCATGCCATGCCAGTGGTCCATCTGTCTATCCAACACCACAGTGTCTCAAGCACCATAGCTTCATACTAAACTCTGACACCTGCTCATTCTTCTCTTTCAAGAGGCTCTTCTCGGGCCATTGTGATTGCATATAAACTTTAGAATCAACTTGTTATATTGATCAGATTATTTCTAAAATCTTGATTATTTAGGGGCGCCTGGGTGGCTCAGTCAGTTAAGCATCCGACTCTTAATTTCAGCTCAGGTCATGATCTCGCGGTTGGTGGGTTTGAGCCCCACATCGGGCTCTGCACTGCTGTGGCGGAGCCTGCTTGGGATTCTCTCTCTCCCTCTCTCTCTCTTTCTGTGCCTCCCTCTCTCCCTTTCTCTCTTCTCTCAAAATAAATAAATATACATTTAAAATTTTGAGTTTTAAAATTGTGGTAAGGGGTGCCCGGGTGGCTCAGTCGGTTAAGCATCTGACTCTTGATTTTGGCTCAGGTCATGATTTCATGGTTTGTGGGTTTGAGCCCCACATCGGGTTCTGAGCTCACAGTGCAGAGCCTGCTTGGGATTCTGTCTCTGTCCCTTCCCCACTTGCTTGTGCACACACAAGCTCTCTCAAAAGTAAACTTAAAAAAAAGGAAAGTTCCCTCCTATTTATAGTTTGCTAAAATTTTTTTAAACTATGAATACTCTATCAAGTACTCTTTTTGTATCTATTGAAATAACCACATGGGTTTTTTTCCTTTATTTGGTTAATACGGTGAATGGTATTTGTAGATGTCACAATCACAGGACAAGCCAAATTAAAAAAAATTTTTTTTTTACATTTATTTTTGAGAGACAGAGTGAGACAGATCGCAACAGGGGAGGGGAAGACAGAGGAGAAGACACAGAATCTGAAGCAGGCTCCAGGCTCCAAGTAAGAGTTCGGCACAGAGCCCGATGTGGGGCTCGAACCCACGAACCATGAGATCATGACCTGAGCCGCCCAGGCACCCTGCCAAATTTTGCCGTGAACCTAAAACTACTCTGAAAAATAATTTGTATGAAAAAACCTAATTGCAGAAACATCTATATGGTAAATATCTGTAGTTGTTTGTTCAAATGGACATATATGAAAAAGTGGTATTACATTTGGACCTGCAAATGGAAATTAGCCAACAGTATGTGTCCCTCCCCGCAAGTGATTTTTTTCCTTTCTGGTTACTTTAAAAAAACCTTTGGGGCGCCTGGGGCAACTTCATGATCTCAAGGTTTGTGAGTTCGAGCCCCGCATCAGGCTCTTTGCTGATCGGCTGGGAGCCTGGAGCCTGCTTCGGATTCTATGTCTTCCCCTCTCTGTCCCTCCCATGCTCATGCTCATGCTCTGTCTCTCAATGATAAATAAACGTTAAAAGAAATAAAAAAAAAAACCTTTTGGCACTCCTTTTTAAAAAAAAAAAATGTTTATTTTGGGGTGCCTGGGCAGCTCAGTTAGTTAAGCGTCTGACTTCAGCTCAGGTCATGATTTCACAGTTCCTGAGTTTGAACCCCACGCTGGGCTCTGTGCTGACCGGTCAGAGCCTGGAGCCTGCTTCAGATTCTGTGTCTCCCTCTCTGTCCCTGCGTTGCTCGTGCTCTCTCTCTCCCCCTCTCTCAAAGAATAAACATTGAAAAATTATTTATTTTGAGAGAGTGCATGCAAGCGGGGGCAGGGCAGAGAGAGAACCCCAAGCAGGCTCTGCGCTGTCAGTGCAGAGCCAGATGCAGGGCTCCATCCCACAAACAGGGAGACCATGATCTGAACTGAAATTAAGAGACACTTAACCGACTGAGCCACCCTGGTGCCCCCAAACCTCTTACTTTGAAATAAGTAGATTCACACACAATTGCCGTCCTGATCAGGTTCTACCTTTTTTTTCTTCCACATTTCTATTATTTTGCATATTGTTTGACCCTGTCAATTTCAGAAGTTCCCACAGGTTTCAACCTGTTCTTGTTCCTGCTGACATAAGTACAATGCTTCATTTCCCTCTATGTTTGGTGATCTTTGTGAAGTCTTCTGGGTTGAGTTTAACTTGTGGATGAACTGGAGACCTAAACCGAGCTCACTTTCCTGCAGAGGATTTGCTTTTGCTTGTACAGAGAGCGCCTCCACCCGTCTTTGCTCCTTTCAAGGGTCTCCAGCTCCATCAAGGTGTCCCGCTTCCCACCTCCCCTCAAAGCACTTGTGGCTCGTGGAGGCTTGCTGGGCCCTTTGGAGACCTCCTCCCGCCTGGAAACAAGCCTGGGGAGGATTCTATTGCTATCTGCTGCTTCTTACCTTACTCGATTCAGCTTTGGAAGCAAGTCCATTAGCTTTGCTCTGCCTCCTTTGCAAAATGAGATTAATCCCTACTTTTGCAAGGTTGTTATGCGGATTACAGGTAACGACTGAAGTTTTACGTGACTGGTGCACACAGAGCTTGACGCCCATCTGCTCAAGGGCCCTGGTTGCTCTAAGGGTCCAGCCTTCCAGCAGGTCACCTCCCCCCATCCCCACCCTTATGACGAGGCCAGAGGTAAAACACGACACAGATGCTTTATTGGCTACAAAACATGAAAACCCAGGCCCCAGGGGTCTCTGGTGATGCCAGGGAGGTGGAAAAGACAGAGCAGTTGCTGGGCCCCAGCACACGGGTGAGTGGTTGGGTCGTGGGCCCTTGCCGCAGGCTCCATCCAGCTGGATTTCACTTCCAGCAAAAGGCTGCCCTTCTGCTCGCGGCGCGGAGCTGGGCCCTGCCTGAGGACCCCACGCCTGTGGGAAGTGTGGGCGGAAGGAAGAGGTGGCCGACGGCCGTCCCTGAGGACGTGCTGAGGCAGCTCCTGGATCGGGCCTATCGGGTGGATCCAAGGGCCAAGGGCCTCATGAAGTCCTGTGCGGACCTCTGGCCTGGCCACCTGCTCCCCTTCAAGTACCCTCCGTCCTGACGCCAGCCCTGGGAGAGGAAGGAGGTCCCTGCCGAAATTTTTTCCTCCTCTCGTGGCCAAGTGGGAGGAGTAGCTGAAACCCTTCCTTCAACCGAAGCAGCTCAGAGCAGAGGGAATGCTCACCAGCTGGGACATGATCCCTGTTTGGGGTTGTGCACAAATCTGTCTAAAAGAACATATCTGCTCAAAACATCAGTCCGTCCCCCAGTTCAGCTCTGTGCAGGGCAAGAGCCTGGAGACAGCGCTGGCGGCCGGCGGCCAGGGCCTGGGTGGGAGCTGCCTCTGTCCCGGGCCTGGGGGCCAGCCGCCCCCTTGCAGGAGGAAGTGAGGGCACCGTCTATCTCCCGGGCTGCAGGTGGCCGTGCAGCTGCTCCGCCTGGACCTTCAGGCGCTGGAATTCTTCCTGGATGAAGTCCGTCAGAGCTTTGCGCATCTCCACCTGAGGGGAAGGACTCAGGCTGGCCTGCGGCCCTCAGGGAGCTCTGCCCAGGAGCCCTGGGAGGCTGAGGGTGCCGGGAGAGGCTAAGACAGCTGCCGGGTGGCAAAGGGAAGTGGGGGGGTGGGGGGGCAGGGCAGAGAGACAACTCACGGCCGACTTGTTCTCTGCCCGGAGCCGTTCAAGTACAGGCATGGCGCTGAAGGGCTTCCCAATCAGCACGGTGATTTTCTGCAGGGAGACCAGCCACCAGTGGGTGACAGAAACAGGGAGAGTGCCCACAGCCATGGCCCAACCACCCCCAGATAGCGAGGAGCCAAGTCCTTCCCCTAACTTGCTGCATGCTCCCTCACGACCACTCTCCCTCTTTAAGACAAAGTGGCCAGGCTCAGTGCCTTTCAAATCCTGCGGTCCATGCTCTGAATGTCCTGTCTTATCCAAACCCCAGGGCTCGCCGCCTCCACCCACCCTGATTTCTTTTGCTCTCCTTCTACTGGCCTTGGTGCCAGGAAGTCCCTCTCTCTCTGTTCCACTCGGTCCCCCTGCTGCAGCTTCAAGCTCAGCTCCTGAATCTGGCCTCAGCAGTGCTGAGTGGGAGACACGACGCACACAGTAGACAGACAGACACACGAAGGTCAACAGCCCCTACACACCTGTCCAAAGCGGGGGAAGTAGGGCGGGCTGTTAGGAAGGACATCATTCATTCCTGCAGCACAGTGGACAGAGGCCAGGAAGTGGGCATGGGGTGGAGCACGGTGACCTGGGAACAGATGGAGCCCCGGCCCCCTACCCCAGAGGCCCTCTCCCTGCCAGCCAGGGGAAACCCCCAAGACCTAGGGAAGCCCCTACTCTCCCGCCCCCACACCCAGGCCACAGCCTTGGCCCAAGACAGGTGCTCACCGACATGCCACAGTGGCAGGATGACAGGGTTGAGATGACACTCGGCAATCAGACGTCCGATTCCTGCCGCGGGGAGAGGCGGGAACATCAGCAAGAGCACAGCTTCAGCGCCAGCCTACAGCCAGGCCACCCCTGCCGTCTTCCGGTTAAAACCAACTCCCCTGGTCCAGCTCCTCTGCCAGTCGAGCCCTCGTCTCAGCACCTGCCCCCTTCCCACTACAACCAAAACACCCATCTGCCACCGTCCGACCCAGCCACACAAGGCCAGCAGTGCCTACCCCACTTAAAGCGTAGGAACTCAGAGCTCATGTTCACTTTCCCTGTGGAGACAGAGGACAGAGATGAGGCTTGGCAGCTGGCGCGGTGTGCAACCCTGCCAACTGTACTGACCTTCCGGGAAGATGTGCACCCAGTCCCCATGGTTGAGCTTCTCCAAAATGAAGTCCATTCCCTTCTGGTAGACACCGTCTCCTGCCAAGAGAAGGCATGCGCCATCAGTCCCCGTTCTCTCGGGGCTCCCTCCTTCCCCTGGGAACGAAGCAGCAGCTCAAGGACTTCCTCATCCTCCACCACACCATCCACGTGGACATCCTCCGAGAACTCTCTGGGGACTCAGCCCCGGTTGCGCTGTGCCCTCGACATCCTTTGTTCAGAATATTCTCTAAACTACCTGTCATGTGCAAGGCAGCATCGTTGTCTCAGTCTCCAACTGACATTCTTAACTGGCGATTCCCTCACCAGTCTGCACCCCACCTCCTACCTGTTGGCCCCGCCACAGCCTCGGGCACTGCACCACAGACACCCACAGAATGCGTCCTTGTGGGCTCCTGGATCTGCTCAGCATTCTCCTTGCCCTCCCTCCCTCTCCAGCTCCTGCAGCCCGCTTTCTCCTTGGGACGCACCAGCCTTGTGGCGAGCCTCCCGTGTGCTACCCCCGGCCCAGAGGGCACCGCTCGAGCAAACCAAGTCTACTCACGATCTCCAGCCTCGCTTGGGCCCAGGATCCTGGACAGCAACCCTTTCCTGGGGTCTTGGCTAGGCTTGTGCCCACAGCCATCCCTCCTGGGCCTCCCTGCCCTGCCTGAGCCCTCGGCCACCGCCATCCCTCTCTTCTGCTGACCCCTTCACTCCTCACAGGGCTTTGCTCCCTCTGAAACTAGTCTCTCAGTTATCGAGATCTCTTGGAAAAGGGAGAACATTCGATGGAACACGGTGTCACTGAGGGTTGGGAAAAACTCAGACTGGCTAGGCTGAGAGAAGGGGAGTGGAGCTGCCCTAAGGCTAATAACACTCACCTTGGAGACACCTGGGGACCATGACACTAGACCCAGGTGGCCTGGCATTTGCAGCAACACAGACACACATACCTAATGCTATATACTGGCTTTCAACTGGGAGTCCCTCGGAGACCACTGTGACCACACGTACTAAGAATCTCCTCAATCTTGTCCATATCGTGGACAGTGACAGACAGACTTATCGAGTAGGGAAAGCCATATCATATAGAGGAGGAGACACACATTGGGACTATGTCAGGCCAGTTCACCAAGAAATGGACTTTTAACCTGTTCTCTGCAAAGCCGAGTCTTTAGAAGGTGCTAGTGAGGCATCCAGGGGTCTCAACCCAACCCAATTGGGACCCGGCCTGGCAGCTTCTTCACGGGCTGGAGTTGAGGAGCAATCACCCACCACAGCTTCTCAGGGCATTGTGAGAGCACTGGTTCCCCTACTTCGGGTAGCATTAACTGGTAGGGGGTGGGCTTCAGAGGTGTCATCTCCTTCTGAGCCGCTGGTGCAAATGCACCCAGCTGGAAATAAAAATTCATACTAAACTACAATGCTCCCAAATCTTTGAGACACAGCAAAAGCAGTTCTAAGAAGGATATGTATAGTGATACAGGCCTATCTGAAGAAACATGAAAAATCTCAAATAAACACTCTAATTTTATACCTAAAAGAACTAGAAGAAGAAAAACAAAGCCCAAAGTTAGAAGAAAATAATAAAGACCAGAGTGGCGGGGCGCCTGGGTGGCTCGGTCAGTTGGGTATCCGACTTCGGCTCAGGTCATGATCTCATGGTTCATGGGTTCAAGCCCTGTGTTGTACTCTGTGCTGACAGCTCGGAGCCTGGAGCCTGCTTCGGATTCTGTGTCTCCCTCTCTCTCTGCCCCTCTCCTGTTCCCGCTTTGTCTCTCTCTCTCTCAAAATAAATAAACGTTAAAAAAAAAAAAAAAGACAGAGAGGACCCAAATAAATAAAATCAGAAATGAAAGACGAGAAATAACAACTGATACCACAGATACACAAAGGATTCTAAGAAGGGCGCCTGAGTGGCTCAGTCAGTTAAGCATCCAATTGCTGATTTCAGCTCAGGTCGTGGTCCCAGGGTTGTGGGATCGAGCCTCACATCAAGCTCCACGCTGCTGGTGTGGAGCCTGCTTCAGATGCTCTATCTCTCTTTCTCTCTGCCCCTCCCCTGCTAGTGTGCCCTCCCTCTCTCTCTGTCAAAATAAATAAATTAAAAAAATTTTTAAATATATTTAACAAAGGATTATAAGAGACTACTATGAAAAATTATATGCCAACAAATTGGACAACCTAGAAGAAATGGATACATGCCTAGACACACAGTCTTTCAAAACAGAATCAGGAACAAATAGAAAAGCTGAACAGGCCGACTACTAGTGACTGATTATTTGAATCTATAATCCAAAAACTCCCAACAAACGAAAGTCCAAGACCAGATGGATTCACAGGTGAATTCTGTCAAACGTTTAAAGAAGAGCTGATACCTATTCTTCTCAAACAATTCCAAAAAATATAAGAGGAAGGAAAGCTTCCAAATACATTCTACAAGGCCAGCATGACCCTGATACCCAAACCAGACAAAGACATTACAAAAAAAAGAGAAAACTATAGGCCGATATCCCTGATGATGCTAAATGCAAAAATCCTCAACAAAATATCAGGAAACCAAAATTCAACAACACATTCAAAGGATCATTCACCACAATCGAGTGGTATTTATTCCAGGGATGCGAAGATGGTTCAAATATGCGCAAATCAATCAATGTAATACATCACATTAACAAGATGAAGGATAAGAACCCCATGATCATCTCAATAGATGCAGAAAAAGCATTTGACAAAATGCAACATCTGTTCATGATAAAAACCTCAAGAGAGTCGGTTCAGAGGGAACATACTTCAACATAATAAAGGCCTTCTATATGAAAATCCCCCAGCAAACATCGTCCTCCATGGGGAAAAACTGAGACCTTTTCTCTGAAGGCCAGGATCAAGACAACAATGTCACTCTCACCACTTTTATTCAACATAGTAGTGGGAGTCCTAGCCACAAAAATCAGACAAGAAAAAAAAAATAAGAGGCATCCACGTTGGTAAGGAAGAAATTAAGTTGTCTCTATTTGCAGATGACATGATACTACATGTAGAAAACTCTAAAGACTCCACCAAAAACTGTTAGAACTAATAAACGGAACTCAGTAAAGCTGCAGGATACAAAATTAACACATAGAATCCGTTGCATTTCTATACACTAATAACAAACTAGCAGAAAGAGAAATTAAGACAACAATTCTATTTACAGTTCTACCAAAAAGAACAAAATACCTAGGAATACACTTAACCACGGAGGTGAAAGACTTGTACTCTGAAAACTACAAAACACTGATGAAAGAAATTGATGACGACACAAACAAATTGGAAGATATTCCATGCTCATGGATTGAAGGAATTAATATTGTTCCAACATCTATATGACCCTAGTCTACAGATTCAATGCAATCTATATCAAAATACCAACAGCATTTTTCACAAAACTAGAACAAATAATCCTCAAATTTGTATGAAACCACAAAAGACACCAAATAGCCAAAGCTATCTTGAAGGAGCACAATCCCAGATTTCAAGAGATACTGCAAACCTGTAGTAATCAGAGCAGTATGGCACAAAAACACATACAGATCAATAGAACAGATCGGAGAGCCCAGAAATAAATCCATGCTTATGTGATCAGTTAATCTACAACAAAGGAGGCAAGAATACACGATGGGGAAAAGACCATCTCTTCAACAAATAGTGCTGGGAAAACTGGACAGCTACATGCAAAAGAATGAAACGGGACCACTTTCTATCACTATACACAAAAATAAACTCAAAATGGACTAAAGACCTGAATGTGAGACCTGAAACTATAAAACTCCTAGAAGAAAACATAGGCGGTAATCTCCTTGTCACTGGCCTTAGCGACCTTTTTCTAGATATATCTCCTCAGAGAAGGGAAATAAAAGCAAAAATAACTCTTGCGACTACGTCAAAATAAAAGGCTTTTGTACAGCACAGCAAAGGAAACCATCAACGAAACGAAAAGGCAACCTACTGAATGGGAGAAGACATTTGCAAATGATATTTCCAATAACGGGTTAATATCCAAACATCCAAACTGTGTAAAGAACCTACACGACACCGAAAAAATCAAATAATCCAATTTACAAAGCTAGACATTTCTCTAAAGACGACATCCAGATGGCCAACAGACCCGTGGAAAGATGCTCAACATCACTCACCATCAGGGAATTACAACTCAAAACCACGATGAGAGATCACCTCACAGCTGTCAGAATGGCTTGTATCAAAAAGACAAGAAATAACAAGCGTTGGCAAGGACGTGGAGAAAAAGGAACCCTCATGCACTGTTGGCGGGAACGTAAATTGGTACAGCCGCTGTGGAAAACAGTATGGAGCTTCCTCAAAAAATTAAAAATAAAAATAGGGGCACCAGGGTGGCTCAGTCTGTTAAGCATTTGACTCTTGATTTTGGTTCAGGTAGTGATCTCATGGTTCTTGAGTTTGAGCCATATGTTGGGCTCTGTACTACAGTGAAGAGCCTGCTTGGGATTCTTTCTCTCTCTCTCCCTCCCTCCCTCTCTCTCTCTCTGTCCCTCTCACTGCCCCCCCTTCTCACTAGCTTCCTCTCTCTCTCTCAAAAAACATTAACAATAAAAATAGCATATGATCCAGTAATTCCACTCCTATTAGCCAAAGAAAACAAAAACACTAATTTGAAAAGATATGCACCCCTGCTCATTGCAGCTTTACAATAGGCAAGATAGGGAAACAATCCTTGTGTCTGTCGACAGATGAACGAATAAAGATGCGGCGTATACGCAGACAGACACAGGCACACACAGGCACACACAGACACACACACACACACACACACACACACACACACACACACACACAGACATATACACTCAGTGGAAAATTACTCAGCCATAAAAAAAGAATGAGATCTTGCCATCTGCAACAACACGGATAGACCTAAAGGGTATCATGCTAAGTGAAATAATTCAGAAAAAAATAAGTACCACATGATTTCACTTGTGTGGAATATCAAAATCAAAACAAATGGATAAACAGAGAAAAAGCAGAAACAGACCCATAAATACAGAGAACAAATTGAGGTTGCCAGAGGGGCAGGGGTGGAGGGATGGGCAAAATCGATGAAGGAGAGTGGGACATACAGCCTCCCAGCTATGGGATGAATAGAAGTCATGTAGATGGAAGGCACAGCATAGGCAATATAGTCAATGGTGTTGTGATAGTGTTGTATGGTCACAAAATTCACACTTGTGAGTACAGCATAATGTACAGAGTTCCAATCACTGTGTTGTACACATGAAACTAATGTAACACGTGTCAACTATAGTTCAATGAAAAAAGAAAAAAGAAAAGCTTGTACAACACCACTTCCATACTTCATGTCATATCATAAGGCCTATGCTGGGGGGATGGAATGTTCTAGAATACAAAAGCCAAGCATGCCAGATACTTCCTTTGCTTTACCACGTGAGCTCTTGGCTGCACATTGAATACGTTTAATAAATAACCTGTCCCTGCCCACCTTCTCTCACTCAAAGTGCTTAGCACTAAGATTTTCTTTTCGGTTTTTAATAGTGCAAGAACACTTGGATGCAGACCAAAAGAAGAACAAGACAAGAATTGGACATGGAGGGGGCCTGACCGGCTCAGTCAGAAGAGCATGTGACTCTTGATCTTGGCGTCATGAGTTCAAGCCCCATGTTGGGTATAGAGATTCCTCAAAAAAGGATAAACTTTAAAAATAGCAAATGGGGGCGCCTGGGTGGCTGTCGCTTAAGCGTCCGACTTCGGCTCGGGTCACGGTGTCACGGCTTGTGAGAACTGGGTTGGGCTCTGCGCTGACAGCACAAAGCCCGCTTCAGATCCTCTGCCCCCCTCTCTCTGCCCCTCCCCAGCTTGTGCGTGCTCTCTCTCTCAAACAAACATTAAAAATAACAAATAAATAAGTAAAACATTTCAGAAACGTGCACACGGAAGATGTCTGGGCAAGCCTGCAGAAGAGAGGACCTGAGGCTCAGGGACGGGAGTATCCGAGCAGAGTCCCCATGTCCGAGAGCGGGGTGTGGTGAACAAGACCATGGTCGCTAGCTACAACACTGTAGCTTCCGCTTGTGTTTTAGAGAAATGAAGTCGCCTCCAAAGGCAGCAGCAAGAGCAAGCGCTCAAGGCAGCTGTGTGCCTAGAGTAGATCTCAGGGCCTGGAGGAGTGCGCATTAAAAGCCCTTGACTGAGGTAACTTCACTGCATTTGACCGCATTTCACTTTGACCAGAAACAGGACACTTTGCTGCCTTGGTGGCTTGTCTCTCCTTCTGTGCTCTGAGGTGCCATCCGGGCCCCTGCTCTCTGTCTGTTCTCCCTCTCTGCCATCTCTCCTCTACTTTTGCCACTTTGTCACCAATTGGGTCCCCAACATCTTCTCAAGTGCTCTTCTGCATTCCAGAACTGCACATCCCACTGCCTCCGGGACTGCTCCCCTCCTCGGGGGACGGCCTCCTCACATGAAACACATGCACAGCGGAACTCCCCTCCCCTCCCAACCCCCACACTGCATTCCCTTCATCCCCTCCTCCCAGTGGCTCAGTGTCAGATGTCACCAAGAGTCACCTGTGGGCTGTCTTCTCCTCCCCCCTCCACCATAGCCAATCTATCAACAAGTCCCGTCAACTTTGCGTCCAGAGTGCTGCCCTTGTCCAGCTGTCTGTAGTGGCCCCCAGAGGCCCGCTACCATACTATGCCGCCAGGATCACTGCGATAGCCCCTCATCCGGCTCCCTGCCTCTACTGGGCTCTGCTCGCAGCCACCAGCCATGCTGAAGCCAGGGTGCTCTCTGGGAAGAACAGATTTGGAAGCACATCACTACCCAGATGACAGAACAGAGTCCAACATTCTTAACATGACTGTTCTGGAACCTTCACATCTGTCACACCCTCACCTCGCAAGCCTGGTTGTTACCCCAAAGCCCGCAGCACCCATCACAGACCGATGATGCTGCGGTGCCATCAGCGGGTCTCTTAGCAACACCCTTGAGAGAAGAGGCTGTGGCCAATGCCTCGTGACTTCTAATGCCAGAGCCCCGGCTTCACACAACCCTCAGGCGGTCCCAGGGCACGAGTGCTCCCCAAGAAGCCATTGCTCCTCCGGCAGCCACTGCCACGTCTGCGGCAGCCACGCAATACAACTGGGACTCACACCAGTGGAGCAGCGGCTCCTGGCTCCCTTTGTTCCCAGGCTGTGTGTCCTAGCTGGGTCCCTCCACGCCCAGTGCTGCTAAGCCAGAAGCACTAGCCACAGTCCCCGTTGCAAATAAAGCCCAAAAAGGCCCCAGAAGTGCCTCCCTGCATCTACTCGCCCACGGACCCCTCCTTGGAGGCTCAGCTCACCTCGGCACACAGGCACACACTTGCCCAAGCTGAAGAAGCGGGAGTGTAGTTCTCTGGTGAAGCAGATGTCTGCAGCCGCGGGGGTCCTGAAGAAGGGACAGACGCAGTCATCCCTGGCTCCTGCACCCTGATGCCCTGCCATCCCCCCAGCATGGCACCTGACATCAGTGGCGATGTGGAAACGCGGCACAGGAGGGCCTGTGGAACCCCACCCCGTGCCCTGCCTGTACTGCTGGACGCCGCCTCCTGGGCAGAGCAGGAGGAGGGCAAATCTGGGCAGAGACGGGTGAGGCCTGCCAGGCCCACTGCGAGGGGCCCATTCCTCCTCACCAACGCATCAACTTCAGGTTCCAGATGTGGCGGAGTTTCAGGATCCCTAGAGAAGGAAAGGCTTCATGACCCAACCTGCCTTGTCCGCAGGGAGCATCTTGTTCGCTCCCAGTTTCAGGAAATGAGGAACAAGGGCAGCAGCTCACCATTTGTGCCCAAAGTGCCATGTTACAGACCCTTGGGCTGGACCCTCAGGTTGTCCCTGACTCGTTCTTCTCTCCCACCCCAACCCATATCTTAACAGTCACATCTGGCCTGCCTACCACACTGACATATTTTGACACTGTGTATTCTTGTACACTTGTCCCCCCACTGTTAGCGCCACCACCCGAGTGCAGGTTACTGAATGGCTCTAAAGCCTCCTTGTTGGCCTCCAGGGATCTGCCTGTGGCAACGTACAGACCCTTCTCTGCCTGATGGCCAGGGTGAGCTCGGAAAGGCTGCAATTTGACCAACTGACTTCCCGTGACAGTCTGACCTGCAGTCATCCGTACAGGCCCTGGGCACCCCCTGAGCCAGCCATTTGGGTTACTGGAGACTATGAAGTCAGCAGAGCAGGAACTTCTAGGTGGCGAAGTGGGCTCCCAAATGAGGGGAGTTGAAAGGTACAAACTCAGCCTGGAACAAACCTGGAACCAGGACGCAGGTCTCCCAGCCTGTAGCCTAGACTCTCCTTGCCAGGACACCCTATGGTTCTCAGATGTGTTCCACTACTCTGTGGGACCTTCAATGGTTTACAGAGGATAGAGGGTTCCACGGGCCTGATGCATCAAACTAAAGAGGCCGTCACATCTTGCCCTGCAGTCACTCCCCCACTTGCTCATTCCCTCCAAATTTCTGAGGCCATCTCCAAATCATGTTCCGAGAGGATACCGACCGGGCCACAAATCGTATTTTGACTCCTGGGGCAGGACACCCCAGAAACAGGAGTGCCACAGCTATGTACAGAGCCCTGTGAGAAGGGAGTTTGTTCTGCTTTTGTTTGGCGCCCTCCCGGGGTCTCTCCATGCTTCCCTGTGCCCAGAACACTGGTGCCAGGTACCCCAGAGATGAGGGTCATCCATGCAGGACTGGTGATTGGAAACAGTGATGAGGGGCGTGGCTGGGCCTCGGTTCTCGATGAGCTCGTACAGCACCTCCTTGTTGTGGACGGTGAGGTGGTTCATGTACTCTGGGGGGAGAGACGGACTGTGGGGAGGGGTCTTGGCCTCGCTGTCCCTGGGGCCCAGGGCTCCCCCCAGCCAAACTAGCCCCGGCCCGCACCCACAACCCCGAACCCCAACTCTGGCTGGGCGTGGGCAGCCGTGGCCGACCCTGCCTCGGCTTCAGGCCCACTCACTGGTCCAGAAGCAGCTGTAGGTGCCCACCAGGCCCATGACGACGCTGCTGGCCAGGGTCCAGGTGAACGGCGGCACCGCGGGGAACGGCCATTTCACACATAGGGGCATCTCCCCCACCCAGACCGAGCTCCCCCGCTCCGCCCCAGGCGGCCTGGCGCTTCCCCTGCCACGGGGCAGCCTGGGGCGGGGGGCGCTCTAGATCTGTGTCCTCAGCCGCGGGGGAACTGGGTCCCTGACAGGCCCGCGCCACACACGGGCGCCGCGGCTCCGCGCGACCGGGGACTCGACCAAGGTCACCTCGCAGGTCAGGCCAGAGCCGGCCCGGCCCGACCTCTCGCCACAGACCAGCCGCCACCGGGGTCAGGAGCCAGGGGGCCCAGGGAGAAGCGAGAGGGGCCGGCGGCGGCACCCAGGTGCCCCGCGCCCCGGCCGGAAAGCGAGCCAGCGACGGGGCCCGACTCCCGGCTGCCTGTCGCAAAACGCTCTCAGGCCGCTTGACGGCAGCGTGGGCGGGCCCGCGGGCTGCGTCGCCCCGCCCCGCTCCAGCGCGAGGTGGAGTCCCGGCCGCTGGAGTGCGCGCTTCGTTTTTGTCCCCTTAATTCGGGCACAGAAAGCTCCGAGAGAGGCAATTTGGGCTACGCAGCACAGTTAGCCGACACCGCTAAAGGTCGGAGCTGGCGGGGACCTTACTTTCGCTTTTTTCCCCTTTATTTTTGTGGAGGCAAAATTTATATAACGGAATTCGCCGTTTTGTGGTATTTTGATACCGATTTCTGCTATACACCGTATTTTATATATACAACATATATACGATGTTATACATGTTACATTATATAATTTTAAAGGATTAAAATAGTACAGATTTGTACCATATGTGTAGATGTAATATGTAATGTATATGCAGCAACATATGGCATATAATAAAAGAAATACTCTGCATAATATATGTAATATAGTATTTTATGTCAGTACATTCCCAGTGCCGTCAACCACTATCTCTAACTAGTTACAAAACATGTTTATCACCCTGGAAGAAAGCCTTATATCTGTTAAACAGTCTTTTTGTTTTGTTTTTATTCCTTTTTTAAAAAATTTTTAACGTTTATTTTTGAGAGAAAGAGAGAGAGCACGTGCAGGGGAGGGGAAGAGAGAGAGGGAGACCCAGAATCGGAAGCAGGCTCCAGGCTCTGAGCTGTCAGCACAGAGCCTGACGTGGGGCTCGAACTCACCAGCGGTGAGATCATGACCTGAGCCAAAGTTGCATGCTTAACCAACTGAGCCACCCAGGTGTTCCTATTCTTTTTTTTTTTTTTAAATGTTAATTTACTTTTGAGAGACAGCGAGAGACAGAGTGCAAGCGGGACAGGGGCAGAGAAAGAGAGGGACACACAGAGTCCGAAGCAGGCTCCAGACTCTGAGCTGTCAGCACAGAGCCCAGTGAGGGGCTTGAATTCGCAAACTGTGAGATCATGACCTGAGCCAATGTCGGATGCTTAACCAACTGAACCACCCAGGTGCCCCTTTTTAATTTAAGTATGTTCTACACCCACCATGAGGCTTGAACTCACCACCCTGAGATCAAGAGTCACATGGTGCACTTATGAGTCAACCAGACACCCGTGTTTTTTAAATTTTGAAGCATAGTTTTATTGATTTTTAAAAATGCTTCTGGGGAGCCTGTGTGGCTCAATTGTTTAAGGGTGGGACTCTTGGTATCAGCTCAAGTCATGATCTCACAGCGAGGAGCCTGCTTGGGATTCTCTCCCTCTCTCTCTGCCCCTCCCCCACTCACAAGCGCTCTCGGACTCTCTCTCTCAAAATAAATAAACTTTAAAAACTAAGTTGATTAATGAATAAAACAGTGTTTCTAGTGTTCTCATCACCACTGCAATCCTAATGTGCTCATGCACATGGGTCCGGCCAACAACGGGACCACACTGCAATCATCGGTGAGGACCCGCCGCCAGGCCGCAGACTCCAATGAGTCCCGTGGTCGTCCCAACAGCGACAGTGCAGGACCACACGGGACACCGAGCTGCCAGCTTTCTTCTCCCCTTCTCTTGGGGACAGTTCCTCAGTCCAGCCTTGACTGCAGTGGTGCCCAGTTCCCACGCTGACTGTCGCTCACTTGGGGTCTCCAGAGCACTTAGGAGTGTGCACCCACCCTGACAACCAGCCTGAGGACGTGGAGAGAAAGCTCTTGTGCTCGGGTGCCCAGGCTACGTTGGGCACGAGCTCCAGCTCTCGCTTGTTCCCTGCCAGAGGATGCCTGGAGGCAGCCCATGTCAGGGGCTGAGCGCTGGGCCCGGGAGAGCACAGCTCCGGGTTTGCATTCTCCAAGCAGCTCCTCCTCGCCGCGCGGCCTTGGCACAGGAAACCACTCATTATGGGAATGCTGAGGCTCCATCACCCTCTGTGACTCACAGGTCTGTCATCCGCCCACAGCTCCGGGCCTCTGCCAGCGCCTGCTTCCAGGCGGGTCAGGGAAGGCGGGGTCGGGGGGCCGGCCCAGCCCGGGGAAGAGCCCAAGCTCCAGGAAGGGTGGGGCGACGGACGGGTGGGTCGGGAAGGCCGCCTCTTCCTCTTTTCTCCTTTCTCCCCTCGGGTTCCTGCCCAGAGAGCTGCTGCGATTCCCTGAGGGTGTGGTGATCTGCTGGTCTGCTTACAGCCAAGGCACGCGTGGACCTGAGCTGGTCTGAATAGGTATGGGCGCCCTCTAAGCAGAGGGAGGGAGGAAGTTGCCCCCAGACTGGGGAGGGGGTGAGAGGGGAAGGGTACCCCAGGGCTGTGGCTAAGGCTTGGTGTTGGGAGCCTGGGTTGGGCTTTGGGCCGAGTCCAGGAACAGTCACTCTCCGGTTCTTCTTGCCTTCGGCCCTTGTGGGGACCCTTGACCCCAGAGCCTCCAGGCCTTCCCTAAACCACCCAGGGCTGCTCAAATGTCCACATACATCCCAGAATAGTAACCAGGGCAGCCCCTCTCTTCCCCCCCAACCCCAGCATGAGTGACAGAGCAGGTGGCCAGGGAGAGACAGGCATTCAGCCCAGCCAGGAATATGAAGGAGATGCACAGAGACTGCATGACAAAGAGGGGAGAACAGAGAAGAGACAGGGAGAAAGACAGACAGGCAGAGCCTTGGTTGAGGCAGAAAGTGAGCCCGAGGGGGAAGGTGACAAAGCCTTAGCTAGGATGCAGTGGGAAGTTACTCAAATAAGAGGGCAGAAAGTTATGAGCAGAAGGGAGGAGGGGAAGGGACCAAAGCAGAGAAGGAATATGGTTTGTTTTCCAGAACCAACAGTTCCAGCCAAGGAGACACCCAGCTAGCTAGGTGTTTCGCCCCATAGCCCCTTGCTGGTTGTGTCTCGCCTCGAAGCTCCTCACATGAGCCACTTGGGGCTGAATCAGAGCTGACCGCAGAAGCCCCCCCCCCAAGTTGTCCTAAAATAACTACCTTTAGTTCATTATAATAATTTTAAGGGCGTCTGGGTGGCGCAGTCAGTTGGGTGTCTGACTTCGGCCAGGTCATGATCTCACCATTCGTGAGTTCGAGCCCCACATCTGTGTGCAGACAGCGCGGAGCCTGGAGCCTGCTTCAGATTCTGTGTCTCCTCTCTCTGCCCCTCCCCCGCTCATGCTCTGTCTCTCTCAAAAATAAACAAACATTAAAAAAATTAGTTTTATAATATAAATTTTATAGTTGTATAATATAAAATCTTCCATAGGCAGAGTTTTCCACCATTTTTCCAACAGATGTGTGCACTAGCATGTTGACATGCTAGGCACGCACAATTGAACCAAAAGTCCCTCTGCCAGCTCCCTGCCCCCACCCCCTAATACACTGGATAAAAGCTTCCTGAATTAACCCCACGGGGAGACAGTGCTTTCGGAGCTATCTCCCTGTCGCCTTACTTGTAACAAGAAGCAAACAGTTCTTTGCTTTCAACACTTCCTTAGGTTGTGTTCCATTCGGCGCACCCCAAGTGGCGAACCCCTTGAGTTTAGTTACAAAGGTGACAGAGAGAAGGAGGCAGACAGAAGTAGAGGGACTTAATGTTGCTTACTGAGAATGTCACAGGGAGCAGGAGCAGAGCAAGGGGCTGAGCCCAAGTGACAGGACAAAGTTTGGGTGCATCTGAAACAAAGATTAACCAAGAGACGCTGCCAAAGAGGGGCCTTTCAGCTGGCAGGATGAACAAGAAGGGGTATCCAGTGTGGCGGGGGTGTGGGAAAGGGGCCCCATCACACACTGCAGTGAGTGATTTGGCATAGCTGAGATTATTTTAAATGTGCACGCCCTTGAACCCAGCAATTCTGCTGATATCATCTCACAAGTGGAAAGAGATCTGTGTGAAGGAGATCCTCTTACTGCTAATGATGGTGAAAAGCTGGAGTTAACTGTGAGGTTGAACTCTTGTGTACTGCCGGTGGGAATGCAAAAAAAGGGTTTAGCTACTATGGAAAATAGTATAGCAGCTCCTCAAAAAAACTAAACCTAGCATTACTGTATGATCCAGCAGTTCCATTTCTGGATATATATGCGAAAGGATTGAAAGCAGGAGCAAACTCTTGATCTGAGCCCAAATCTTGACGTTAGGGTCGCGAGTTCAAGCCCCTCCTTGGGCTCCACACTAGGCGTGAAAGTCAAGCCATATGTGCCAATGTTGGAAAGCGTCCGCAGGGAGAAAGGCGGGAGATCTGCAATGCTGGCAGCTCCGGGAGGCTGGTGCTGGGCAGCAGGACGAGCGTCACTTCCTCTGTCCCCCACTGCCATGTCCTTCCAGAAGCAGAACCTAGCCTAGCTGGGAGTGCACCCTGGGACAGCCTGGGCTCCCTCGAGGGCCCCGGCGTCGCACACCCAGCCATGCATTACCCGGCGGTGCTCCTGCTTCTCCTGCCCGGTGGGGTCGAGGCCTTTCGCATCTGTGCCTTCAATGCCCAGCGGCTGACGCTCGCGAAGGCGGCCAGGGAACATGTGATGGACACGTTGGTCCGGGTACGTTCATCCCTGAAGGAAAGCTGTGCCCACAGCCCGAAGCCCCCGCCCTGCCTGACCAGGGGCATTTCCGAGAGAAGAGGGGACGAGAGACGTGGGTCTGGAGACGTGGAGCACGCTCCTTCCCTGTCATCGGCCTCAGTCTCCTCTTCTGTGATATGGGTGCGGTGTGGATGGGGTGGCACTCGGTGTTCTCCCAGGTCCT